ACGACGTCGTTTTTGCTATCTTGATTTATTTTGTTCTTTTTTTTTTTACCAACTTTTTTTATTACTCCTGTTTATGTAATGTATTATTAGGACATGATGCTTTTTGTTTTGCTGTTATTATTCTTTTATTATACTATAAAAAATAGCTGTTCAACTATAAAGATAAGTTCTTTTTTTACTTGTAATTGACCATGAATTCAATTGTTACGGAGCATGGAAAATGCAAAGTATTTTAAACTTTTGGGATCTTCGCCATTTAATACAATCACTTGCATGTGGTTTAGGCTATAAAGTCGTCGGATATATTCATAAGTAAATAATTGCGGTCAACATTCAACATGAAAATTAATCAAAGGACTATATGAAATGACAACAATTAGCGAATAAGGTCAAAAGATATTATTAATTCTTTCAAAAAATGTTTGTATGTTTTTCATATTTTTAATCATCATTAACTTCAAAATATGAAAATGTATTTTATTTTAATTTTAAAAATTAATCACACAATATTTTTTGAAGTAATAATTGTATGAATTTAAATGAAAAATAAAATTCAGTTGACGTGGGACAAACAATTCTTTTCTCTCTCAATAAATGAAAAAATAAAATATAATTAAACCAGAATTGAGAAACAAAGAAAACGTTTGAATACATTAAAAAAATACGATTAAACTATATACTAATTAAGGATGTTTGTTTTTCTTTGACAATGTAATAACGTCTTTCGCATGTTAGAAAAATGTGTTTTACTTCACTTTATTCTCGTGACGTGTATTTTAAACCTCCCGTAAGGATGATTAATTTCTTAAGTTAGATATATCACTTAGAAATAACTTCTATAAACCAAATATATACTTGTGCTACGATAAAAAAAAAAAAAAAATTTGGTAGATATAAAAATTGTTTCATTATACCGATCATAAAAAATAACCAGGTAAGTGATAAGCAATATTTTTATTATCGATGTGTTCTTTCTAAATTCGTTTTGTTATTTCTTGAAAAAGAATTGTTGTTTAATGATTTTTGATAATGTTTATGTCGATAACATGTGTATTACGCCGAATTGAAATGAGATTGGTATCAAAATAACGATGTTAACTCAAGTCGTAAGTTTCAAAACAAAAAAAAACTCAAGTCATTAGGCTACTTATCATTATTCCGAATCTCTGATCATTCAACAATTTTTGGAATAGATTTTTAAAAAAAAATTAAATAAAAAATAGTTTCTGAAAATAAATAAAGAAGATGGAGAAACAAAAATTTCTCTAGTAAAACTAAAAAAATAAAAACTTTATTGGTATTTTTTTTTTTAATTCTAAATCTTAGGAAATCCAGTTTTTAAAAATTTTGAGAGATGATTGAATGGGTTTTTGAGAACAAAAACCAATTAAGGTCTTTATATGTATCTTTTTCTTCAGTAAAGAAGCAATAAGTGCAGGATGTGTAATGTATCCACAATGTCAATGGTATTTAATAGTGTAGGTTTATTGGGTACGGGAATAAACGTATTATATGGTGTGAAAACGGCTCATGACTTATGGAATGGTCTGTTTCGTGTTTGATAAGTAAGAGCCTTTAAAGACAATTTGCAGGAATATAAAATATCTTGTTTTAGACCAGCAAGTTATTTTCTCTTCCGTGATGCAAAACAAGTTCAACCAATTTTCTTATGGTATCTCAATTTCCATCCATTCTTATGTAATATCTATATAATACTACAATTATAGAAAAGTTCTATATATGTCTTTCATGTGAAAGAAATTTATGGTGGAGATTATATACACCATTAGTTCATTCATGAATTGGCAATAAATTTGAAATACCTACACCGAATATACTTTTGTTTGATTACCTGATAAGCGAATGAAACAGAGAAGAGAGGCTGAGTTTGTGAAGAGGTTTTTCTGTGTATTGATCAAATGAGAAGCGTACAATATATATATGATCAGCTACTCTAACCTACTTTCTTTAGAGTAGAAGATATGAATTAAGTACTGTGATATATCACATGAGCAAAGAATTGGAAAGTATCAAATCATAGGAACTTTCCTAACAC